CCTCGGCTTACCATCTAGCGGAAGGTTTCGGAAGGGTGAAAAAACATATATTTAATACTTGTGCCGGGTATTTAATGTTCGGCTCCGTCCGAACTTAGACTTTCTTACTTGTTTAACTTTAACTTTGGTATTTTGGCAAGATCATGCACTACTCAGTACATATACATAGCTGGCCATGCGTAAAGCAATCCCCTTTTTAGGGTCTGACCTTAAATATGTATTGTTATTGCGAACGCTACAATAGTTTTGAATTGGCGGCGTTTAAATACATAGGGAAATGCTGATTCGCTGGGCTGTAAATTTATATGGGGTAGTAAAATTCATTTCCCTTGTGAATCACATGTCCATTAACTAACCCTTTATATGTACATATTTGTATTGCGGCATCCAAAGAATTATATTGTAGTTCTTTAACTATTAGGCGAGACCATTAACTAACCCTTCATATGTATATATTTAGGTTACGGACTAACATCACAACTGTTCCGACTTTTAGTATCAAGTCATGAGGTGCAACTCTCCTACTCCTACATTCTCCTGTGGATATTCACAAACGACAGTAGATATCGACGCCATAGTAAACATTTTCTTTTACGTACAACATATTAACCATATCTTTATTAACTATCGTACAGTGCTTATTTTTTAAACCCGGAATTAATTCATCCTTCAAGTGGTTTTGATTAATTACTCAGAATCGGTAGTTAACTACAAAATTTCAGTGCAAAAATCTATCTTAATTTTTTAGTCCGGCGAGAGTTCCCTAACCTGCAAGAGAAAACTGAAATAATCAGATTCTCTGAAACGCATATATGTTTATGGAGAGTTTAAAATACTTTACCGTTCTCTCAGTCCGTCTGCCAGGACTTCTTTTTTAAGTTTTCCAGCTTTTTAAAAATATACAAAATTGAAAATAAATTTACACTATACAGATACAAAAGCAACATTTTAGTTTGCAGATCTACCGCTGTATCGCTACCTAATTCGCACGAAAGTAGCAATGCATTGCTCGATATGAAACAAGAATAGGGACGAAAGCGAATAAATGGAACTATTTTTCATTCTCTTATGCTCCGCTGAGACGCTGCCTATCGAAATGAACGTAGCAATGCTTTGCTCAATGTAAAAATTGTAAAAGCTTTCGACGCAAATATTTAGAAAGTGGTTCAATGAATCTTAAATGTGAATAATAGAATAATATTTATGTAGATAAATAAAAATGAGCGAAAAAAATCTTTATTTCATTACATGTGGTCATTGTTATTTAGCCACAAAATCCTTGTTATAAAATACAATAGAAGTTTTATTTACTCTGTACTTACAGTATTGCAGTCAATTAAAATCACGACAACTATTTTTCATTATTTGTGCTGCTTGAAAAAGTACCTACTTGACCGTTACTTACTAAACGAGCATACATTTCTTGAGAGGTAATTTAAGAAATTTTGATAGAAGAAAATTTCTTTTTAATTTCTTGAACGTCATTTTATTTGAATTTTGCGTTTTTGTTAATGGCCTTATTCTTAAAAAATAAAGTATGTGTTTAGGCCTTAAGCCTAAATATTTCCAAAAGATAATGCACCACCCTAATGTGTCATTCGCATATGTAAATGTACATGCATACTTGTACACATGTATATATATATTATATATTCGCGCCGTTAGTTTAAGTTTCCCCCCGGATAAAGTATCTTTCGTTGAATTTCCCCTCAATGTCTTTTCTTTGTCCGCCGGTTCGAACGAAAATCACGGCTTTAGATGTGTCACTTTTTCATCGGGAGACCAAGGAGAAAGAACTGCAGCTACCAGGCCACATTAGTTTCTGGTAAAACCATTGTAAACCAACATATATACACCAATTCAAAATACTTGGACAATTAATAAAACCATTAAACTAAAATGAGTTTTATTTGTCTTTTTTTCCTCATTTTTCAAACCTCATTGTGACCACTTTGCGCACCAAACTTGAGCCGTACTGCGTCACATTGACGTTTTTATTGGTCCTTAGGAGCCGTTAGCCAACATACAGTCCACATTAGAAGAAAAAGCGAACCCAAAAAGTAATTGAGCCACTTCTACGAAAAATTTGGTCACATCAAGCTGCACATAACAGCGATCCTGCTACAGCCACAGCCACACTTATTCGTGCTACGAACCAGCAAAACACTGATAGCATCACCGTCCAACAAGCAGTTTCACCAGCTACTAGGAAACTAAGGTACGTGGTTACAAATTCAAGTGCACTAAAAAAATTACCAGATATAACCTCTAAGTGAATGCAAGCGAGTTGAAGTGATTTGTGAAAAAAAAAACAGTTGAACTTGTGCAAATAACCGCAGTGAATAGTGTCCATCGACATTAACAGTTCGTAATTGCTGTACCGTGCATCACAGTGAGCGGTGGCATATATGTAACTTAAATATCAAAGTGCAGCACACATTGCTTTCCGGCTCACTACATATTGCAAAAATTTTTTGGTATTTTGCCACTTGCCACATTCGATTTGCTACTCGAGTTAACAAAGCGCCGGTAAATTTCAATATCAATTTCGTTGTGCTTAAGCAATTTAATTCGTGCAGCACATTTCTTAAATTTGCATTACACTGATTCACTGTATTTGAGGTCACATAACCTCAAATTTTAATTTCCTTCACACTTTTTTTCACAAAAATCACTTCACCACGATGAATTTAGTCCATTTGCGAAATATTTGCTGGTAAACATTGAAATCAAGTCCATTTGGATAAGTTTTGCCGACGTTGCGTTGTGTGTATACTCGAATTTGTGCATACAGATATGTTTATACATATATACATACATATATATATATACCTTCGTCGGCAGTGTTGGGTGGCGAGTAGCACATACACATATATATACATACATATGCTTATCACTTTTCTGAAAAAATAAAAAAGATTATCGATTTTCTGAAAGAGATATCAATTTTAAATCGTAGTGTTTTCTTGACTGCTTCTGGGTTCTGGCTCGTAGAGTTTAAACAATCTACGTTGGTACTCTTATACTCTTTTCGACAATTTGGCAAAAGTTTCGCTTGTGCATTTATACATATACGACAGTTTGGAATATACACGGTCTATTCCTACTTATAGTGAACATACTTGTTTCGAAAACTACAACAAATTTTAATTCGTAAAGAGTAATCAGAAGATCAATTACCGAAATGGAAACCTTTATTCGTTTGGCAGAATCTGTAATCGAATTTGAATCAGATTACAGTGGCACACCAGCCGCAGAGCAAAACAAACACGGCCTTGCAATAAGCAAGACGAACTAAAGGCTTTGTGGGAAAAGACCAAAGTAGCTTATGACGCGATCATAAATAAAGAAGGAATTTCTAAAGATGACATTAAAATAATTAGACGGAAACATAAGGGCTCGTTTTCCAGCTATGTCAAATGCATGTCGGCAATGGCTAGTCAGTCTGAGACGCTTGTAAATGCAGAGAAGGATGTACAAGATCAGTCGGTTCGTGAACACAATATTCACCTCCCTCCGTGTGATACAGATGTGTTCAAGGGCGACTATCTGTCATGGCCATCGTTCCGTGACATGTTTACAGCCATATACATCCTAAACAAGCCTGAATCAGAAGACTCAAGGGGAAGCCAAAGACATAGTAAGAAAATGTCCACTCACCAATGAAGGTTTTCAAACGGCCTGGAATAACCTGTGTGAGAGATATGAAAATAAGCGTATCCTCATAAATACGCAACTAAAAATTCTTTTCAACATAATTTCCATAGATAATGAGTGTGGTAGCTGACAGAAGAAGTTACAGCGCGATATAATTAATTGTTTATCAGCGCTCAAGAGCCATAACATTGACATCTCGAATTGGGATGCAATTATTGTATATCTATGCTCAACTAAACTTCCCGACTGTACGCTGGCTCTATGAGAACAAACCATAGATCACAAGAAAGATTTACCAAAGTGGGAAGACATGGACAAGTTCCTATCGAATAGGTTTCAAACCTTGGAAACCATGTCAGGCATAAAGGGCACAAAGTCTGTAAAAGCGTCAAAGCCGCAAAACACCAGACATCCCTCAGAAGCCCCCACAAAAAGACTTGGCGCGTTCCAAACCAGCGTAACCAAGTACACATCTAAAATGTGCCAAACAAATGAGCACAAATTACGCCGCTGTTCCCGTTTCCTAAAGCTAACGCCAACTGAAAGGATCGAGTTTTTAAAGAGCAACAATGCTTGCCTGAATTGTCTGAGTTCTGGACATACTGTGTCAAGATGCACAAGCCCTTTCAATTGCGGCACGTGTCACTCGCGACATCATACGCTCCTGCACACCCAGACAATTCCGCCAAAGGCAACACCGCCTCAAACGCCACCGAGCTCTGCCAAAGATGTTGCCTCAACCTCGCAACAAGCTGCAGCAAGGCGTAACTTCAATAAAACTAACTCCGGTAAAAGCAAAAACGTTAAGTCTAATTATGCAAATATGAACTCAGGTGTACTTTTAGGAACGGCTCGTGTAAATATACGTCTCAATGGTACAGATTTTTCAGCACGAGCACTCATTGATTCTGGTTCTGAGTGTTCCTTTATAACAGAACGACTCAAACGCAGAATCAACCTGCCATCTAAGAAGATGTATGCCAAAGTTTCAGGCATCACAAATTCAACTTCTGCTCAGGTCAAGGAGACATGCAACATAGAACTACGGTCCCCTGTTGACTCACTGTTTAGTCTACATGCAACAGTGCTCGTGCTGACAAAATTAACTGGAAATCTTCCATCCTGCCGTATCAGCGCTATGACTATGCAGGCATTTCCAGATCTGATTTTAGCAAATAAAAGGTTCTTCGTTAACGAAGAAGTAGACCTAGTACTTGGTGGAGACATTTATCCCCAAATTATTTTGTGCGGCTTGAAGAAAAATGTTCTCAGTACACTTCTTGCCCAAGAAACCGTGTTCGATTCGATTCTAACCGGTTGCACAGAAGCACCAAATCCAACAAACAACATAGTTTCTTATCATAGCGAAGTTGCCTTGGATAAACAACTAACAGCTTTCTGGGAACTAGAAGATATACCGAAAAACAAAAATTTAAACGAAGACGACAAGTATTGTGAAGAGCTTTATCGGAAAACGACTGAGAGAAACCCAGATGGAAAATATGCAGGAATTTCCAGCAAACATTTGCCTAGACCCCTCTCTTAAAAAAGCATGCTCTCAGTTCTTCCGGAATGAGACACGGCTTAGAAAGGATCCCGTCCTGCAAAAAGAGTATAATAGGATACTAACAGAATATGAATCACTGGGACACATGTCCAGAATAAATGCTAGCATTTCAGCAGACTCTTCCGATAACTACTTTCTACCCCATCACGCTGTGATAAAGGCGGAAAGCACCTCTACAAAAGTTCGGGTCGTCTTTAATGCCTCAAGCCAGACGGCTAATGGTACAAGTTTAAATGACGTACTTTACCCAGGTCCAGTACTCCAAGCAGATCTTCCAATATTAATACTCCGCTGGAGATTATATAGGTACGTTTTTAATAGCGACATCGAGAAGATGTACCGCCAAATTTGGGTGAATAACAACCATACCAAATACCAGCGAATAGTTTATCGTACAAACCCGAACGAACCTGTAAGTCTATATGAATTAAAGACTGTCACTTTCGGGATTAATAGCGCACCTTACCTCGCGATAAGGACACTTCTGCAATTAGCTGACGATGTAGAGAGTTCTTTCCCAATAGCATCTAACACTCTACGAAAGTGCATGTATGTGGATGACGTGTTAGCTGGAGGACATAGCGTCGACTCTACCATTAAAGCAAGAGATGAAATCTCAGAAGTGTTACGATCAGCTGGTTTTCCACTACGGAAATGCACCTCAAATTGTCAGGAAATTCTAAAGGACATCCCAAAAACGGACCTTCTTAGCGAAGACTTCTTAGCATTCGAAGACACCAGCACGGTTAAGGCTCTGGGCATAAGATGGAATGCCCATACGGATTTATTTTATTTTATGGCCAGACCATTGGAGGAGCACAACACTATTACGAAAAGGGCGATACTGTCAGCTATCGCCAAGCTTTTCGATCCGCTGGGATGGCTCGCGCCAATAGTCATCGTAGCCAAAATACTCATGCAAAGTATTTGGCTAGAAGGCACAGACTGGGATGACACTGTGTCTGCTACTATTTTAGAACGTTGGCAGCATTTTACAAGACATTACCACGAAATAGATAATATCAGAATATCTCGATGGGTATACTTCTCACCTGGAGACACCATAGAGATACATGGTTTCTGCGACGCATCAGAAAAAGCATATGCGGCTACGGCATATATGCGTGTCAAAAGAGATGACAAAATTTTGGTCAATCTACTTTTGGCAAAAACCAGAGTAGCCCCCGTCAAAACTATATCGCTACCACGACTGGAGCTTTGCGGAGCAGTACTGCTCGCAGAAATCATAGAATCTATNTTTTGCGGAGCAGTGCTCCTCGCAGAAATCATAGAATCTATAATCAACAACCTCAACCTAGGACCAGTGAAGACACATCTATGGACGGACTCGACCATCGTACTCGCATGGATATGAAAGCCGTCTTGTTCTTGGTCAACCTTCGTCGCCCACCGAACTACGAAAATCGTAGAAAAAGTAGGGGAGAAGGACTGGCTACACGTAGACTCGGCCTCAAATCCAGCCGATTTGGCTAGCAGAGGACTACCTGCGTCAGAATTGGTCAACAATTCTTTGTGGTGGCAGGGACCTTCTTGGCTGCAAGAAGACAACTCCAAGTGGCCCGCTCAAGGAACAGACTATCATACAGAAGTCGAAGAAAAAAGAGCACACACTTATGCGCCAACAAGAGCGGATGATATCGATATTCTTGCCGTTTTTCCGATCTACCGAGTGCTTTGAGAGTTTTATCATATGTTATGAGATTTTATCGAAGAACTCATTCTAAAACAAAAGCTTCAATTCAGGAAAGTTCTTGTTTAATTTCATCTAATGAAATTAAAACAACGGCACAGATCCTGATAAAAATCTACCAGAAGCATTATTATGGTGAAGAATACGCAAACTTGAAGTCTAAAAAACCAATCGATGCAAAGAGTGAAATCCTTCCGCTTAATCCGTTCATCGATAAACATGACATCATCAGAGNCCGGAGGTCGCCTTGGAGCATCTCAGGACTTAGCATACAACGAACGCCACCCAAGCATTATTCCGTATAACAGCAGGTTGTCCCGCCTTATTGTATCGTTTATTCACAAGGTCTCCTTGCATGGAGAGAATCAACTGATGCTACGCCTCATCCGTACCCAATACTGGATTCCCAAAGTCAAGAACTTGATCAGGTCCACTATCCATAATTGTAAGACATGTATTATCTTTAAAAAACGGTCACAAACTCAACTTATGGGAACTCTTCCTCCGGAACGCACTACATTTACTCGCGCTTTCACCAATACGGGGGTAGACTTTACTGGACCTTTTGATGTTAAAAGTTACCGCGGCAGAGGTTGTCGAGTTTCTAAAGGGTATGTCTGTTTATTTGTTTGTTTCACGACAAAAGCGATTCACTTAGAAGCTACTAGTGATCTTAGTACCCCATCTTTTCTAGCGGCGTTCGCACGGTTCGTGGCTAGAAGAGGATGTCCGAGAAATATCTACTCCGACAACGGCACTAACTTTGTCGGAGCCTCACGATCCTTACGATCTGAGTTTATAGCTTTTCTGTCTGAAACTCGAGATAAAACTATCTCGAAATACGATCATCAAATGCTGACGTGGCATTTTATACCCGCTGCAGCGCCTCACATGGGAGGACTGTGGGAAGCGGGCGTAAAGAGCTTCAAAAGCCACTTTAGAAAAATTGCGTCCGCCCACAAATACACCTTTGAAGAGCTTAGTACTCTTTTATGCCGTATTGAGGCATGCCTCAATTCACGGCCACTGAGTCCCTCTTCAAATAACCCTACTGACCTGGAGCCGCTTACTCCAGGCCATTTTCTCATNTAAAACAAAAGCTTCAATTCAGGAAAGTTCTTGTTTAATTTCATCTAATGAAATTAAAACAACGGCACAGATCCTGATAAAAATCTACCAGAAGCATTATTATGGTGAAGAATACGCAAACTTGAAGTCTAAAAAACCAATCGATGCGAAGAGTGAAATCCTTCCGCTTAATCCGTTCATCGATAAACATGACATCATCAGAGCCGGAGGTCGCCTTGGAGCATCCCAGGACTTAGCATACAATGAACGCCACCCGAGCATTATCCCGTATAACAGCAGGTTGTCCCGCCTTATTGTATCGTTTATTCACAAGGTCTCCTTGCATGGAGAGAATCAACTGATGCTACGCCTCATCCGTACCCAATACTGGATTCCCAAAGTCAAGAACTTGATCAGGTCCACTATCCATAATTGTAAGACATGCATTATCTTTAAAAAACGGTCACAAACTCAACTTATGGGAACTCTTCCTCCGGAACGCACTACATTTACTCGCGCTTTCACCAATACGGGGGTAGACTTTACTGGACCTTTTGATGTTAAAAGTTACCGCGGCAGAGGTTGTCGAGTTTCTAAAGGGTATGTCTGTTTATTTGTTTGTTTCACGACAAAAGCGATTCACTTAGAAGCTACTAGTGATCTTAGTACCCCATCTTTTCTAGCGGCGTTCGCACGGTTCGTGGCTAGAAGAGGATGTCCGAGAAATATCTACTCCGACAACGGCACTAACTTTGTCGGAGCCTCACGATCCTTACGATCTGAATTTAAAGCTTTTCTGTCTGAAACCCGAGAAAAAACTATCTCGAAATACAATCATCAAATGCTGACGTGGCATTTTATACCCGCTGCAGCGCCTCACATGGGAGGACTGTGGGAAGCGGGCGTAAAGAGCTTCAAAAGCCACTTTAGAAAAATTGAGTCCGCCCACAAATACACCTTTAAAGAGCTTAGTACTATTTTATGCCGTATTGAGGCGTGCCTCAATTCACGGCCTCTGAGTCCCTCTTCAAATAACCCTACTGACCTGGAGCCGCTTACTCCAGGCCATTTTCTCATCGGTGGACATCTTCTAGCCCCACCAGAATTAGACGTTAATGAAACTCCTGCCTCCATAGTGAATCGGTGGCAAAAACTCAAAGCACTGAATCAAACTTTCTGTAGGCGATGGAAAACAGAGTACCTAACCGAACTTCAAAAACGCATTAAGTGGAAGCATCCCAAAGAAAATATCAAACCTGGTGATCTGGTNACTTCAAAAATGCATTAAGTGGAAACATCCCAAGGAAAATATCAAACCTGGTGATCTGGTCGTCATCAAGGAAGACAACTTAACCCCCACTGAATGGAGGTTAGGACGAGTTGTCAACGTACACCCTGGTGCCGACAGCAGAGTACGAGTACTGGACATCTTGACGGAGAAAGGTCAAGTCACAAGACCACTGGTGAAGTTGGTTTTACTCCCGCCATACAACGATGGAAACTCGGAGCCCGCAACCACCTCGTAAACCAATTTTCATCATTATATCCCACTTCCTTTTTCCACGCGATTCCACTTCCTTATATTAGGAGGGATCCCACGACTAAGAGAGTTCTTGTTTTTCGTTTATTTTCTTCTAATAATTAAGAAAAAAATTCGGTGATGGTTCTGACCCGGATTTCCCCGAGTTGATCTGGTTACAAATAAACGACCGTCAACAGATCTTAACCCAAAATACCCATAAATTGCAGAGCAGTTAACTGCTTCATATAAAAAATGAATCACAAACAGTGAAAACCTAGCAAGTTCCGTGAAAATATATTCAAAATGCAAACTTTTCTTTAACTTGCTGGAATGATAATTATAATTTTAAAACTCACAGATTTCTGGTTCCGTTCTAATTTTTGTTGCCAGAGTCGTCAGGCTGCTTCTCATTGTAGTCGTTTCAGCCGCATGGTTTCTTTATTCGCGCCCCCCTTAATAAAATACAAATGAATTAGTTTCAAACTGTTGGATATAAAAATAAAAAATAAAAAAAATGGGAGAATTAGTATATTGTTACCAAAGCAAAGGAGCTTCTATCAAACCGATCCCACGAACCACTATGATGGCCTTGCTGCTAGAAAGTATCAGGATTGAAAGGTGCTTATAATAGCGACACAAATCCAATCATTGTTTCCTTTCCCCATTAATTCCACACTACAGGAGGTGCTGGGCTTGTTCAATTGGCAATCACCAACGCAGTACTGCGTGCATAACCACAGCATCACGCTCGATGTGAATTTCTACCAGCGTTGTACCAGTTAAGCTGTCGCAGCGTTCGTGCAAATTTTCGGCAGCGTTACCGTGGTACCGCTTTACTATGTTCTTCGAACGGCCACACAAACTTATGCATATATATATACCTTTGTATATAAACAAAACCAAAAGAAACTAGAGCTCTAGATACCCGGGTATCGAGCAATGCGAGTAGCTCGATACTCGCTCGAAACTCGTTCATTGCTCAACTGCTCAAATGTTTGTTCAAAATTTTCGAGTTTTTGAACGATTTCATAAACAAAAGAAAATTTGTAAATTGTATTTGTCAGCAGCTGCTTTCTAAAGCAGAATATACACAAGCAGACTTGTCTGTACTACATGTCAAGTATGACATACCGTCGCATCGTGTATAGGCGGGTGTGCACACCAAATTCTAGGTCTGCATACATGTATGAAGAAAATTGAAATTTTCCAATTTTTCTGCTCGTTGGTGCGACAGGTATGAACGTTTATAGTAAACAATGCAGACAGAACCTCATACTTGAATAGATTTTTATGCGGAAGTTTGTGTGAGCACCGTGGCTATAATTGATAACGAGTTTTGGCGTGATTTTATTGAAGCCTTTAGGGGGGAAAAAGTGTTATGGGAGATAAAACACGACAATTACAAAAATAAATTAAAGGTTGTCCAAAGTTGGGAAATACTTTTACAAAAATATAAGGAATTAGATCCACATGCCACGATTGACATCGTAAAAAAACGCATTAATGGCATGCGGAACTGCTATAGACGGGAACTTTCAAAAATAAAAAAATCGACGAGGTGTGGTGCCGGCGGAGATGACATCTACAAACTAACGCTTTGGTATTTTTACCAATTAGACTTTTTACGTGACCAGGAAACGCAAACACCGGTTATTAGTACATTGGAGGAGAATGATTTTGATAATGAGGTGTGTAATATTTAATCGAGTAAACAAACACATAGATTATGGTAATAATAAGTATAGAAGGTTAACAATGGAGATATAGACAAAGACAACGACGCAGTTAAGGGCAACGTAAAACAGAAGATTTAAGATTTCAGATGAGGATGTAAAGGAAGAGGAAGAAGAAAATGGACGCACATTTAGGTTTTTATTTAGAACTGGCCAATACCAATAAGCTATTTACGTGACATATTTTAAGCAAATCGGATTTTTTAAATAGGTCAGTCCACGGCCCAGCTACTGGAAAACCGTACCCTAAATGTTAATCCAAACCGTTCAGCCATTTCTGCGTAATTCAGTAACAACTAACCAAAGACAAATTTTTCCGATTGATTAAATAACTACTATATATTTATTATTATAGTTATTAGATATTATAAAATTTTACTCTGCCATGGGACTGATCCAACTGTGTTAAAATAATGTTTGTATTTATTGCGAACGCTTTTCGCTACATTTGTTGCATTTCCCCCTTGAAGAGGTCTTAGGTTTGTAAGTTCACAAGCACTTTGCCGAGGAGCGTATTGTATTTCACTTGGGGTAACATTTTCAACATCGACGCCGTCATTCATATGTTGCAGCCTATTTTTCCGTGTTAAAAAATTATGGATATAACAACAGGCCAAAACTATTTTCGATACTTTATGAGGGCTTAAGTTCATTCTGTTTGCCAGAATACGAAAGCGGCTGCATAAAATGCCAAACGCATTTTCCACTACCCGTCTAGCTCTCGATAATCTGTAATTGAAAATAGTTTCCTCGGCGCTTAGTTGGGTACGACTAAATGGCTTTATTAGATTCTCCATAAGTGGGAATGCATCATCTCCTATAGAACAAATGGAAATTCCTCTCACTCATAGGGAAACTTGCTGGGTGGGGAATAAACCGTTCATTGTCGTCATATTTTTGCTTAAATTTGCTTTGGCCGAATATTCCTGCATCAGACGCTCTTCCGTTTGCACCAACTTCAACGGATATGAACTCATAATTTGCATTAACAATTGCCATCAAAACAATGGAGTAAAATTTTTTGTAGTTGTAATAATATGAGCCCGTTCCTGGAATTAAACTAATTTTAGTCTTCTCTTTATTTTTAGGTTGAATCTCAAAGAACTCGAAAGCGTAAAAAGTCTGACAATAACTCAGAGTTTCTCGAAAAGGCCATACAGCATCTGGATCAAGCCAAGAACTCAAATAGGGAACGCGATGATGCTGACGTGTTTGCTGAATCTTGGGCAATTTTATTTAGAAAATTGTCAGCGGAGCAGCAAATATACGCAAAACGAGGTATTGAAGAGATCCTAGTACATGGACAGTTGGGAAACCTTCATATGAATTCTGTACAAATAACCGTCTCTCAAAGAAATCCAAGGACCTATACAATATCCCGCGCCTCGACTCCATGTTCATCGTCGTCTATTCCCGACCCTTTTCCTACAGTTTACACACAAGCACCGCAATTACTTATTTCAAGGCGCACTATGCCACGAAATGAATACTCGCAGTCCGGGTTTGCAGAATCACCAGAATTTATTCACTCAAATAATTCTGGGTCAGCGCAATCTTTTGATGAACTATTTTCGGACGCTCAATACCAGTGACTTTTCATTATTTTAATTTTAATTGTTATTAATTTTATAATTAAATAAACGTTTATTAATAAACTAGCTTAATGCCGCAGGGTTTCACCCCACGTTAAACAAACAGTTCTTTTGTGTTCTTCACAGTACATTTTGTATGTGCCGAAGCTGGTTCATTGGCCTTATAAAACCATAATGAAGCAAATTTTTCAATATGAAGGGTCATCGTCTGGGGGAACGTACTAGACAACAAGGCCCTCAGGGTTAAGCAGCTGGAATCTGCATGGCCGGTTAGCTGGCAAGACAGGGAACCCTTGAGGAAGTGGTGGGTGCTCCCCTGACTTCTTGTGGTCTATTTGTGGATAGATTACCTGAATGTATTCGTCCAATGTTTTTATTATGGCTTCACAAGTTTCTAATACAATACGACTTAAACTGTGTGGAGATATTGCTGTTAAAAATTTNTATGGCTTCACAAGTTTCTAATACAATACGACTTAAACTGTGTGAAGATATTGCTGTTAAAAATTTGAAATCTTCGAAGCTTTCGTCGGATGACAAAAATCTAAGAGTAGCCGAAAGCCGTTCATGGGGCGTAATTGCATCTCTCATGAAAGTATCTCTTTTTTTATTAAAGGCTCCACCATCAACAGGAGTTCTTGATAGTTTGCATTGTTCATGCGAACAAAATTTTTAAATTTTTTGATAGATTTTGTTTCCAATTCCTTAAGGAGTGGTACGTGTGAATATTTTGCGCGTTTTTTTATAAAAGTTTTCGCACCAAAAGCGTTGTTTTCGCCTTTTTTCCTTCTTTTTCTTATCATTTTCAGCGCACACAGAAATTACAAGCAGGGCTATAATTTGATTTTTTGATGTCATGAGGTTCACTCACTTCAACGATTTCAACGAAATGATGTTTGAACAACATAGGTGTATACTGAACTGGCATGCGACCAAGTATGCATACAAGTCTGATTGTGTATATTCTGCTTAATCCAGGTTAAATAAATTATATTATTAAATACCAATGTAACAATCTTTGCATTATATATCAATAATTTGAAAAATTTAAAAAGTTGCTACCAAAAATGTCAATATAATAAAAAAACATTGCTCAAATTACTCGAGCTCATGCTCGAAAATTTTCGAGTAATGAGCATTGAACAAGTGTGCGAGTCCTCGCTGCTCATATACCCGGGCTGTTTGAAAATGTGCGAACAAAATCGAGAGCTCTAAAAGAAACCACAAACATGTCTATCAGGTTGTATATCTACCTATTAACGCAAACAGAAATGGGTATATGAGATACTACAATAAATGCTGTAAATACTTAGTTTAGTTTGTCCAATCACACAGTTCAGTTTCGCAATAGCACTTCACCCTTTCATGACGGCGTTGACGCTGTAGTTCCACGGGTTTGCGTGTCATCGTTTTACTAGATTTGCGTTCATGCAGCGTTGACTGGGTAGCACTGTGCCAAGTCAATAGTAAAAAAAGCGAATCGGCCAATAAAGACCAGATGTAACTGAACGCAGCAAGTGCATCGATATGTGGGCATGTAGAAGCCTTTACTTTCAGTGGAGGCCTTGACACAATTCGCCTGCTAATTGTCATAATAATCGTACTACTACGCTTCGCTTTAATACGAATATATTTGCAATCGTATCAAAAGTTAGCTTATGATAAAATCATGGACATACGCAATGAAGCCGGTCGCATTATGAATGCGGAATATCAGAAAGATTTCCACGTGGTCATCTTGCAATTCACCGCACCACTCTTGCTTTGCTTGTAGGTTAAGTTGATGTATAAAAGTTTAGGCGAATATACTTGCTCTGAGATATTGCGCATATTGAATTAGTGAGTTCTAATTGCATTTCCGTCTGTCATACATGCAGAGTAGCTATTAATATAGCATAATACTGCATAATAGCGAGGTTAGGGGCGTTACGCCAAGTGTAGCTCAAAGGTGCATATATGTAGGCAATAGTGCTTTGGCCACTTTCGGGTTTCTTTGGGGTTCTGGTACTCCAGCCGAGTCCCGATATGGTCACCAAATGCCAGCGCCCGAGGACAGATGTAGGCTTATGTATTTTTATCTGAAAAGGAAAATTTATATTAATTAGAATTCATATTAACTTAAATTTTTTACACTTTCTTACCTGGTTGCGTGCGTAGAACCTCATGCATTAAGAAAATTCCAATGGTGTGAATGAATTCTTTTCATTGATATGTATCCATACCAGGGTTCGGACTACTCAAACAACGGGAGTAAAAAACAAACTTTCGTAGTAGTAGATTTTCATGCTTCATCTTTTTTACGCAGTCATGATGACGCAAAAATTGGAGTATTTCATAAGAGGATCTAGTAGCAATCTTTTACGTAAACCGAAAATAGTTAATTGAAATTTTGGTTCAGTTTGTACATGAAGTCGGAATAGTTAAACAAGTTCATTTACGTTATATTGTCTAACTTCATTAAAATCCTCCTCATCCGAACTTAGTTTTTTGACTCAAATTAGAATTTTATTTCTGGAGTAAAAAGCTAACAAAACGGACTAAAGTAGTAGATCGCCAACCTTTTTCAACTCTTACCAAACCCATTTCGGAACTGAGTTGAGTCTGAATACTGGCTTAAACGTTCACTTATTCATACGTTCCATATTGAAAAAAAGGAAAAAAACCAGCTGGTGGATATACCATCGCACCATGTGGTCATTCATTGTTAAAGCGCCAGCTAGTATAAAATAATACTCACCCATAAAGCAAAATGCATTGTCATGTTGAGACATTAGTGCATTATATATTTCACATATTTTAAGGAAAAAGTCAAAGGAAAATGTGATAGTTTATTGTCACATGCCAGCTTAAATTAATCAATTCTGCTGCATCCGTGCTACCCTGCATGTGTGGCCGGAAATCACATCCAGTGACGCTAAAACTGTCTCTCTTCTTGCTGGCAGGGAAGTTGTAGGGTGTCGAGAAGAACAAATCTTCAACAATCGTCGATTAATAATCTACACGGGTTCAATAAATTAATTGAATTACTATTCGATTAATATCAGTAAAGTGAGTAGATTTTTCATTTTTTTTAAATTGGCAATTTTTTAATCTAATAAATGCAAACTTGCTGTTTTTAAGTATAAATAAAACTTACCTATGTCCATGCATTCCTTCTCAATGGAATGCATGGCATTTGTGCGATCCACTTTTCATTATTTTGTGGGTCGCTTGGCGTAACGCCCCTTATACATAATTTACACGAGCCAGTTTGCGCCGTACGAATCATAAACCCCATTTAGACAAACCAAACTGTTGATATGCATTAGCGAAATAGTTATGCCCCTAATTTAATTAGCCAAGGTCGATACACTCGCCACCCAACAACCCATATCAAGCGTAAAAATCGAACCAACGAACAGTATCGACACAATTTCAGATGAAACGATGTCTCAATTTGCCGCAATGAGGAAAAGGGCCGAACAGCGCACCCTTCGCTATCCGCAACCATGCCGCCTATGCGACGCAAATCATCCGATAAGGCTTTGCCCTTTATATCGTGCGAAATCGCCAGAGGAAAGATTGCGTGAGGCCTTACTAGGACGCTACTGCGCTAATTGCCTCGCGATGAATCACGAATTAAAAGACTGCGTGAGCGAAGGCAGATGTAAACGATGTAGCGAAAAGCACCACTCGACACTACATTTCTAGGATGAACCCAGCACATCGAAAAAGTCATGGGCCCAACAGGAGGAGGAGGAAGAAAAAAATTCCGATGGTGTGATCTCGCTACTTGCGTCCGATTCTGGAACGGAAACGCGGCCTTTCCGTCCAGATACCGAAAAAGGTGCACTTTCAGGCGATGCAGCGGAGACTCGGCCTCTCCGCGCATTCGCAGAATGGGGATCGGAAACTAGGCCTTTCCGACCCCTGTCGCAGCACGGGTGGAACCGGTTACGTGGAGCGGAAACCAGGCCTTTCCGCCTGCGTAATCTCAAACGCAAGGATAAAGTATCTTTCGTTGAATTTCCCCTCAACGTCTTTTCTTTGTCCGGCGGTTCGAACGAAAATCACGGCTTTAGATTTGGCACTTTTTCATCCGGAGACCAAGGAGAAAGAACTGCAGCTACCAGGCCACATTAGTTTCAGGTAAAACCATTGTAAACCAACATATATACATCAATTCAAAATACTTGGACAATTAATAAAACGAGTTTAATTGGTCTTTTTTTCCTCATTTTTCAAACCTCATTGTGACCACTTTGCGCACCAAACTTGAGCCGCACTGCGTCACATTGACTTTTTTAGTATGTTTAAAGCACGGTAGAAAAAAGAAGGTAGTTTCACTTAATGACATTGGCAGCCATGTTAGCCATTTGACTTTTGCTGGGATTTTGTCGTTTTCATCAAAATCTAGCTACCAGATTGAAAATTATAATATAATTTTTTTCTGAAATAAACTATACATAGCAAAAAACAAAATAATTTTATAAAATAATAAAAAGAAAAATGAGTTACTCATTTGGAAGCTGCAAAAATACAAAATACCACTTCCAGGAAGACGGTACAAATGTTTTTAAATTTCCAGCGCTTCCTTTTGTGAATTCGATATTTAAATCTAAAGTTAAAGGACAACGAAACTAATACGAAAATAATAAGATCAGAAAAATTACATCTTGATGGCTTTGTTGAATTTATTAAATAAAATCGTTTAATAATGTTAACGCAACATATATACACATAGATTAATTTCCAGTTTGGGGTTGGGGTGAGAAATACCATCCTACTTACGTATACCATTGTCCATTGTATTTCGAAGTTAAATTGCATTATATTTATGTACATATTTTCAATAAATATGTATATCATGTACTAGACTTGTTTGGTTTCGTCTAAGAAGACTAAAATATTTACACTTAATAACTATGAAAAAATCCCCATCCCGAAACTTGCTATTTATTTTTAAATATTAATAAATTTGCAACATGAACAAATTATGCAGCTTCAAAACACCCAGTATTCATCAAAAAGTTGTTTACTGAAACTACCTTAATTTTTAACATGGTTTAAACAGCTTTATAGATTGATGT